TTGAGGTTTTCTCTAACAATGAAATTCAAGTTAGATGAAACATAAGCAATTCCACCTCCAACTTTAGTACCCTTTCTATTGTTACAATGAGTCCATAGCCAGGTATAGTAAATATGAGGATCAGCTTTTAATCACGTTTCAGAGAGTGCAATAATTGCAAATTTACGTGTTAAGGACTTTGGTTAATGATCAAAAGACGAATCAAATTGTTGCTGGCATGCGGTACACATAAAATAAAGATTATGAACAAGTACAAGACAATAAATATGGGCTACGGTACAGTTGATCCATTAAAGCAAGGATTGATACTTGCCAAATGTTATGAATTCCGTCCGCCTGAAATGTGGATGGTCACTCCGGGCTTCCGTATAATTATTTCGAGGGAACGAAATAAATATTTCGAGGGAACAAAATAATTATTTCGAGGGAACGAAATAATATTTCGAGGGAACGAAATAATATTTCGAGGGAACGAATTTTTTTTTTTCGAGGGAACGAAATAATATTTCGAGGGAAAGAAAGAAAATATTTCGAGGGAATGAAATAATATTTCGAGGGAACGAATTTTTTTTTTTCGAGGGAACGAAATAATATTTCGAGGGAAAGAAAGAAAATATTTCGAGGGAATGAAATAAAATTTCGAGGGAACGAATTATTATTTCGAGGGAACGAAATATTATTTCGAGGGAACGAAATATTATTTCGAGGGAACGACATATATTTCGAGGAAACGAAATAATATTTCGAGTGAACGAAATGATTTCGAGAGAACGAAATAATGTTTCGATGGAATGAAATTAAAAAAAAAAGTTCATCATGCCTGTCCCTTTAGGGGCTCCGTATACATGACCTTTGTATTAGACTGTTAACACTGGAGGATATGACTGCGAATCGTTTGGTGTTCAATATGCTGGTATAATTGGTTTGCCAAGTCGGTAATTTTTTGTTTTAATACGTCAAGGGATACTTCACGTTTTGGATGCTACGATCACAAGATGGTCAGTATAGGTATACATATATTGCTAGTGTGTTCATGAACTGGGGTAGTCAGAGCGAGGCTACATAATTATGCGTCGAAGTTTATACGAAAAGGAAAATGGCTGATAGTTGTCCGCAGCCCAATCACTATACACGTATACAGGCATGATACACTCATACAGGCTTTAGGCCAATTCTGTTTAATGAACCTTGGGGTCGACCTGGACGGAGTAACTGCCCTTTCCGGTTGATTTTGCTGGTCCCAGAGGGACAATGATCACTGACTGACTGAGAAATCTCAATTTTGAGACAGTTCGAAACAAACCCGTTTAACATTTCGTCGTCGTTTATACGAACCGACAATATAGGCAAATCGCATGAATTTTCGATTTTCTAATTTTTACATATTACTAACTTACTTATTAAAATCTACCTTCACGTGGAATTTCAAGCCTGAAAACGCGCTAGATTCGAAGATACAAACAATCTTGAAAATATCTTGTGACCGAAATATAGTCAAAGCGTTGAAACTCGGTCTGTACGAAGCGACAAAACAATACGCGCAGTTCAATGCTATGTAACGAAGCTGGCAGGATTTTTTTCGAGAAGGGGTAAAGCAAATTTGCTCAGGCTCCCCATAACCCTGTACTTTTTCAACATATTCTTTTCGAAGGAGGCAGCGACAATATATTTGCCCCCCCCCTTAAATAATCAGTAATAGTTTTTTTTTTTTCCTTTATACAATTGTTGCTCTTTTTTGGGGTTTTTAGGGGGGGGGGGGGTTCCCATTCACTCTCCCTTCAGCTAACTCAAACGTACGACTTGTATGTCGTACGTACGACATATGAATTGTAACGCGTACGACTTATATCTCGTCGCACGACATATACTCGTAGGCACGACATATTAGTCATACGTACGACTTATGAATTGTAATTCGTACGTACGACATATCTCGTACGTACGACTTGTAATGGAGGGTAGGCATCATTCGGTAACAGGTGCGCAAGTTTGTCCGCCATCTTCGATACGCTGTATTAGGGACATGGTGATAAAAATCTCTCTCCCTTCAACTAACTCGTATGTTCGACTTATATCGAACATACGCCTTGAGAATCATAAGTCGTACGTATGCCTTATAACTCATACGTACGACTAATAACTCGTATGTACGACTTATATATACATGTAACATGTAAATATGCATCATCTGATACAACTTATGAATTATAACTCATACTTTTTTACGTACGACTTATATCTTCTTTGTACTGATGACATATACGTACGTCTTAACTCGTAAAGCCCCTGTCACACTTTTGCGTATCCTAATTCCTTATGAGTTCCTTATCCAAATTTTTCAATACGCAGCCGTACGCTCAAAACGTCGAATTTTTATTAATACTTTGACTTATGTGCGACGCACATCTAGCGTAGAAGTACCGAATTCAGCGCATCCATTGCGTATGAGATGCGTATGAGTTGCGTATGCAGTGCACAACATTATTTTTCGGGCTGCGAATAGGTCAGTATGCAGTGCGCATGCCTAGCGTATTCCGGACGCACCCGACTTATGCCGACCGCATGCTTGACGCACTTTTGAGCGTATTCCCGCCACATTTCCACTGCTCGCCGTTCAGCGTGCGTTGCATCTGCGCTGCAAGTACGCTATATATACGTCCAATACAGGCGGCTTATATGCTGACGGGGTGCGTCACGAACACATAGCGTACTCGTAACGCACTCGACCGATGCGTGACCGATGCGCTGCGTATTTATAACTTATGACCTGCGTAACAGCGTACGCAGCGTAGTTTTGTGCATGCCCAAAACTATCCTGCGTACTGGACCGTACCATGCGTATATCTGCGTACATAAAACATACACAAAACGATAGAGATGCATATGAGGCGCGTATTGTGCGTACGACTGCGTATGAAAAAAAGTCAATGCGCAACTCATAAGGAATTAGGATACGCAGAAGTGTGACGGGGCCCTTAGTACGACTCATAACTCGTTTGTAAATACGACTTAATCTCGTACGTAGTACGACTTATGAATTGCCACGCGTACATACGATGTATATGGCGTACATACGACTTAGATCTCATATCTCGTACGTACGACTTACAATTCATAAGTCGCATGTTAGTATCTCCTACGTATGTACGACTCATAACTCGTTCGGATGCCTTATAATTTGTAAATACAACTTAATCTCGTACATACGATTTATGAATTGTAACTAGCATACGTACGACTTATATGTCGTACATACGACATATCTTGTACGTACGTACAACTTATATATATCTCGTATGTATGATCGACTCTTTAACTCGTACCTACGCCTATTTATAACTTGTAAATACATCTTATAACTGGTTTGTACGACTCATAATTCGTACGTACGCCTTATAATTTGTAACAGGTACGTACTTTGAACGTATCTCGTACGTACGACCTTCAATTCATAACCTGTATGTACGAGATGTAACTCATACCTACGTACGATTTATGAATTGTAACTCGTGTGACTAATATCTCGTACGTACTTAAGAGTAATAACCTGTACGTACGCTTTATAACTCGCAAATACGAACGTATGACTTATGTTACAATCATGAGTCGTAGGTACGACTAAAAGGTCGTACGTATGAGATACTTGTACGTACGAGATATAAGTTGACGTACGAGATATAAGTCGTACGAAGGCAATATATAAGTCGTTCACACGACATGCAAGTCGTGTGTACGATATGTTAGGCGTGCGTACGAGGTATAAGTCGTATTTATGGATTTTAAGTCGTACGTATAGAGTTAGCTAAGGGCCCTGTCACACTTCTGCGTATCCTAATAGGATATCGGATAGTTTTGGGCATGCACAAAACTACGCTGCGTACGCTGTTACGCAGGTCATAAGTTATAAATACGCAGCGCATCGGTCCCGCATCGGTCGAGCGCGGTACGTTCATACGCGGCAATACGCTGACCTCCTATATTTGACGTATACATAGCGACGTATTGCACGAATAAGTACCGCTCGTCCTGCGAGCGGGCAGCGCATTGTACTTATTCGTAACTTATGAGAGTGGATGCGCTGAATTCGTTACTTGTTCGCTAGATGTGCGTCGCACATATGTCAAAGTAATAAAAACAATTCGACGTTTTTGATCGTACGGCTGCGTATTGAAAATTGTTGATAAGGAACTCATAAGGAATTGGGATACGCAAAAGTGTGACAGGGGCTTAAAGGGATGATTAGAGAGATATTTTTCTCAACATGTCCATAATACATACGATTCGTGAACAAAAATGAACATACCCCCATGCTAAAAGTTAATAATTAAATGGAGATTGATGATGGCAATGGATTAAAATTCAGACCTAATTAAATATGAATAAAATAACATGTACATTGTTTTGTAGTTGAAAATCACCTAATGGATATGTAGTGATGCCTGTCAATCAATCAATCAATCATGTTTTGTCGATAATAATACATGTGGGAACAGCATTTTTATTTTATTTTCGCCAATGGATAATAAGGGTGGTTTGCAAACAATAATTCAGCACATAAAAACTTCAACGTATAGCGTCAGTTCGTAAACATCATTGCATCATACTTGTGGATTTACGAACCGAAAAACTTGTTTAGAGTTCATTTTCTCCACTAAAATTCCGATAATAAATAGGTAGGTGTATTATTAAAAACACCTTCTGTGGAGGTGTCCTGCAAAATTTTAGCCGAAATTGTGAATGTTAAACTATAAAATTTGTCATCTGAAAACTTGTATAACTTTGAAAGCGATTTTCTCGAAATCTAGTTTTTACGTGAAATGCTTGTTTCGCCGGTTTGTAAAAACGGCGACGATTTTTTCGGGATTCATAACTAAACTGGACATCGTGTTTTTGTTTTATTTTTAAGTGGTGGAGCTTTTAGTTAAATTGAGTTTCAGTGGGAATATAGATGGCATGGTGGGAAAATAATAACAATTTGACTCTTTAAATTGTGATGGCAGGAAAAAGACTTGATCAAGATCAGTCTGGACAAAATCAAAAGGGAATCCGAAATAAGTACCCCTGGGAGTAGAAATACGGTATGGATGGCAACATATTCATCACCCTCTGGTCCAAGGACTGTAGCTGTAAAGAACTGTGCCAGATTCAAGAGAGAAGAAGCCTTGATATTGCAACAATTGCGCCACCCAAACATCATTGAGTTTTTAGGAGTTGCACCTCTGCCTTTTGGCGGATATGCTATTGTGACTGAGTTTGCCGAAAAAGGATCTTTGTACGATCTCATAAAGCAACATCCTGATGATTGGTCAGATTTCAAAAAGCAATGCTGGATAAAATGGGCCATTGAGATGGCACGGGGTTTGCAATACATCCACGAGCAGAAATACCAGCATGGGGATGTGAAATCACCGAATATGGTCATTACAAGGAACGACACACTAAAGATCTGTGACTTCAGCACTGCCAGGCATTGTGAGGTTACAGTCAGTACAAATAGCATCAGGGGATCATGGGCTTGGATGGCACCAGAGGTCATGGGCGAACCTGATCCTCAATCACAGACAAAACCTATAGTGACACCCAAGTCCGATGTTTTCTCTTATGCTGTCGTTGTTTGGGAACTTCTCACTGGTAAGGCACCATTTCCTGGGGAATCTGCCCTTAATATGCTCAAAGCTGTCGCAATCCAACGAAAACGCCTGGAAATCCCCACAGCATGCCCTGAGTCCCTGCGTGACCTGCTAACGGAATGGTGGGATCATGACCACACAAAGCGGCCCAGTATGGATGAGATTTTGAGCCGCTCTGAACCAGGTAGGATAGCATTTTACACTGATTTTGGTATACAAAAATTGCTTTTAAAATTTTTTCATGAGACTTTAACGAAAAACCTCAACGGAATCGAATGGAGTCAGCTTATTCGTTCAAAAAGAGGAAACCCTTCAAAACAGAAACAGTGTGGTGGGTAAAATTAACCATAATTAACCTATGAAATATTTTGTAACGCTTTGACCGTCGCCCTGAAATTTGGTGACAAATTCTGTAGAATCTCAATAGTTGCAATGGCATTTGTACAATGGCGATTAAAGCACTAGTAATCTTAAATTCGTCATTACACTAGTAATCTAAAATTCGTCATTTTGTATGAAAACATGGACATTTGCATTGTTCCCCGAACCTATCAAATATAAATTTTGGACTAAAGTTCATGATAAGCTACTTTTCGTGACCAATGGCACGAAAAGTAGCTCTTCAATTTCACCTTTTCTGCAAATTTGTCAAGAATTGTCATTCTTGACAATTCGTACATGTAAGAAAGGTAAGGCGTTTATAACATTACCAAATAGTACTGTTTGTTGTCGATTACTGTTTGTTGTCGATTTGTTTGAAGGAAATTCCAATTTTGCGAGAAAATCATGAAAACAAATTTAGCGTCCTCAGGCGGTAATGTATGAAGCCCATGTTTATTTAGTTAGATGGATGTTGATCCAAAAGAACGTTTATTTTGTACTAAATCTGAACACGTTTGAAAGAAACATGTAGAAAATATGCCAAAAATACAGTTTCTGACCCAAACTTCGCAAAAATAGTAAAGCGCCCTCTTGTGGTCATCACAGTTGTTTTGGAATATCGGCCGTCACAATGTGCCCCCCCCCCCCCCCCCCGGTCTGTCCTGAGACGATTCAGTATACCCTAGTCCTGTTCAGCTTAAAGTGGATCCATGTCGAATCTCATTTCCTTGCTTCCAGGATTTAGACGTACAGTGCAGTAGGTCGTATTGCTGTCATTTTTGTCATAATATTCTTCAGACGTGCAAACTTCTTCAGTGTTTGTATTTGTATTTTTTTTCATGACATGGATATGTTTTTATGCACGACAGCGTTAGTTTCAGGAGAATGGACAACTTGTACAATTTCCGAAAGTTCCCCCCAGCAGGACTCCCAAATTTCTCAAAGCGGGTCGTTGGAACAAGTTGGGAAGGGTGAGTAGATGGGCTCCTCTTTGAGCAAGAATACAGTTCCTACTTTCTTCTGATTCTTCGCTAGGCCTATTTCCCAAACTGATATTATAAAAGAAAACAATTGCGCGACTTCAAAAACAAACAAACAAACAAACACCCCAACACCCCAACAAACAAACAAACAAACAAACAAACAAACCTAACATTCTTCTCTCAGCAAAAAAATGTGTTGTCCACTTTTGGGGCTCCATGCCACTAATTGATTACACCATTTACAAATCAGTCACCTTGGTCTGCAGAGCAAAGTCTGTCTTTGTACGCAAGTCTATGCAACATTCCTTCTGTCACTTTAAAACTTTACATTTTTAAAGTTCTGTTATGCATTTTTAATATTTCCATTTCATGTATGCACTTATATTTTTCTTTGGAATAGCTGTACATTCGTATAAGGCTTTCTCAATATTTAAGTCATTTTAATAATAATAAAAGTAGGTATTAATCTATAAAGCGCACGTATCCACTATTAGTGGTGCTCAAGGCGGAGTACATCATTATTACCCTGTTTATTGGGCCCATGAAACATTCCAAATACCATCTCAGCTCCCTGAGGAGTATACAGCTCAATGTTGCCATATCGGCACAAAGCAGCAAAATGAACTACAATAACCATCTATACCCAATTTACTCCTGGGTGGGGAGAAGCAATAAGTGACAAAGTCTCTGCATTAACACTATTGCTATACAGCTCCCCAATTATTTCATGAGGGGTGTTACTTTTGTTAACGTAAACAACAAATTGAATTCCCGAGAGGGATAGAAATCCAAAGCTCACGATATTAAATGCACAAGTCACGTAACTTGCTGCCTACTTTTCACAGGTGATAAATAAAGATAATATTTTGAACTTTCGCTAAATTGAACCGAGTGTGAAAACGCTTGCCAATTTCTTTGGCGTATTTGAATGAACATTCTGTTTGTTTGACTGAGGTTGTGAAATCAGCCAAGAATACTTGTATCCAACAACCAGAGATCGCAACACACACGCGGCTACATACATGTAGGCCTTCACCCTTGAGTCCCTTACGTTTCGGAGAGAGTAAACAAGTAGAATGGAAAATATCTAGCCTTATCTTCCATTATTTTCAAACAGCATTCTTGGGTCTGAGTGGGGATCATTGTCTTGGATGACGCAAAAACAAACGTAATTGTTTGAGATAATTTTAAATTTTCTTTTTATGTTTTTCCCGGTCCCCCATGTTCACAAATTGTTACGAAGAAATATAAATCAGACTTCAAAAGAAATAAGCGAAAGGATATGGATAAACGAAAGATGATTAGAGGGACACTACGGTTCTAGAACAGCCCAATTGGGCTACAAAATGTGCTTTGAACGAATTGATGTTAATCGGAAAGAACATTTAAAAGTAGGATTCAAACATCCACACAACTATCTTTTAAAAACTGGGCATTTTTGTGGTATTCCTGTATTATGCGTGCGAGAACGAATTTCGGGGTCCACTTTTGCGACCCCAAAAAGTCGAGCTGTGGGTGCTAGTTGTGATTTCATCCGTAAAGTGTTCGCCTTTTGCGGACGTGTAAGAAACCACATTTTGTGCATTGGTGATTGGCCACCACAGTTCGCGAGCACGATGCTGTATAGGCACACACAACGTGTACATATCGCACATTGACCAAACGACAGGAAAAACGTATTCGTACTCCGTCGTGTCCGATGTAAACAACCAAGGTTTTTTCGTCTTTTCTCTGGAACGGTAAGACATTAGGTTGGTTTCCTTTGAACCACATGTTTGAAATAAGATAAGTAAACGATCCAAAACATGAAATTTTCGCGGATTTTAGGACCTCCTGCCCCTTTAATGAAGTATGAACAAAATTACATTTCATGATAAGCTACTTTTCGCTTTTCGCGCTTGCCCCCCACCCCGGACAAAGGACAAAGAAAAAAAAGAGGCGCGAAATCATATTGTTGTTAATTTAATGGGTTGGGGGGAGGGGGTAAATGTCCCTGCCCACCCTCGAAAAAATTAGCAATCTGGAAAATGCTGGAAATATAGGGATGGGGGGACCTGCTTTGTCCCGCCCCCTCTAGAAAAATCCTGGCGACGCCCTTGTTCTTGAGATGTTGTTCAAAAGATAGTTTGTTAAGATGCAGAATGTAAATACATGTGTATGTTTCATTTTCACACATCTGATGTAGGTCTGTAGTAGTATGTAGATTCCTTCCATTTTTCTCAGTTTTAAAATGCTTGTCTCTCTAATTCTAATTAGGCTTCGATATTTTGCAATTGCAGTACCGACATACACTGCACTTTACGATTTTGCGGCACAAGAAAAAGTTGACTTGAGCTTTCAGAAAGGAGAAGCGCTAGATATTATACATAAGACGTAAGTACAACGACGAGAGGCATCTCCGCCTCTTTCAAAACCCATAGCCTCGTGGAACTTGCCGGGCTATAACGAATTTTTGTGAGTGCAATTCACCTTATGAAATTAATCTTACTATTTCACGAATCTGAAACATTCATTATGTTGTTGCATATACATGTATCACCTGAATAAATCATTGTCATCTGATTGGTCAGAGCCGCCAAAGGTTTGACCGTGCAATGCAACTTCCACTTACCGTTGAATGGAACTTCTATTTTTGCTGTGTGGCCGCGCCGTGCGTGGTGGATTATCCCCTTGCACAGCAAGGGTCGATATGTGAACAGATTCATCGATTAATTATGCAACTAGACTGCGTCCTAACCTCAAGATTCTGACCATTCAGCAGGCGCTTTCTACATCGGTTCTTCGGTAACCCGTTTTGAAAGCCAATGTCGGTTTTTATTATATCTACATGCCCATCGTTGTATTACACATACTTTGGCATCAAAATTGACCAATCACCAGCTTAGTCCAGATTTCAGAATGAAATGACGTCATGTCGACTCTGGCTGGTCTGCTGGTCCGCAGGGTGGCATAATTTGCATGCTTATACATATCAGACGTTGGACCAGAGACAGAGAGGGTTCCGTTGGACAACAGGTCATACTCGGACTACGCCGCGCGTTGGGACAAATAATTCAATGCGCGTGATACCAAGGACCCACCAATCAGATAACGGGATTTATTCAGGCGTTTTGGAAGACCCATATAGCTTCATGATCTAGAGTGTTGTTGGCCCAAGGTTAGGGTTTTAATATAACTGCTGAAGGCAGTCCTTCATTTCTTGTTCTGTTTTGAACGTCCTCTACCCCCTCCTGGTAATGCATTTGTCCTGTGCTCCCGGGGCTAGATGATGCCGTAAGAACAAGAGAACATGTGCGTGAAAAGTATGGCGTAGAGTGTCAGCAACAGCTAGATCTCCTTCGAAGGCATCTATAACAATTATATACGGTTGTTGTCCGCGTTTGATACATGGGGCTTTCATTTTGCGCACAAAATGGACCCGACCTGAGGGAGCCGAACTATTGTCTGGCAGCTAATAATTCACAGTTTGTGAAGAAATATAACTAAATGTTGGTTAATTTTTCATTCCATGTTTCATTCAAAAATGAATAAATCTTATATTACTAGGAAAACAGCAGTTGAATAAAATCAATATTCCGAGGTTAAATTAGAAAATGAGGGAGAATGCATCTTAATTTAGTCGCCAAAGAAATGTGTTATTCCTTTGGTTGCTGCTGTGGTGTTGTTTAAGGGGTGGTGACTGGTGGTTTGCAAGGTCAACTAAGACTGGTCAAGAAGGCTATGTCCCTTCCAACTACATCAGACGTGCAAGAGATATTGATACAGAAGAGTAAGTTTCTTTCGTTTCTCATTGGTTAGATTGTAACAAACACTGTTGGAAAAGCAACTTCATTTTAATTCATAAGATGCCACTAATGAAGATTTATAAATGCCAAAAGGAGTATTTCCTGGAGTCGAGATTCGTTTCATTGATATCATACTTTTTTTGTGAAGAAACAGTCATCAATGACAAAGCCCAACCAGTAATTCAAAATCAAGCAAAATCCAATCTTTTTTTAATGAAAAGATTCAAAACAAGAAAACAAATTAATTTTGGGGAAGAAAATATGTAATCGAATATTTCTATGGAGCTAAGAACAGTAATTGTCTGGGTTGTTTTTAGTTCAATCCGCTATGGGAAAAGAGAGATGAGAAAAAAATCCATTAAGTTTTAAATATTCAAATTCGTTACCCGTGTTAAAGGATTCTAAACGTTTACACTTTTGCCTCAATATTAATTCCTTTTTCAAATCTATTACCAGTAAATACATACTAACTATAATTATTTCAAGATCAAATATACACTCTCCAGTTAATTAAGACTGGCCGTACAGTTTACTCGTCGAAGTTGGGGGACCAGCATTTTAGGAAATTCAAAAAGCGGGGCGCGAGAAATTTGGCGTTGGGATGGGGGAGGGGTCAGGACATTACCAGATGGCCCAGAATCATTATGAATAAATCCACATTTTATGCCAATGTCCTGCGTGATGTGTCCTGTTATCTTTATGTTAAGTGGCTGGTGAACGACCATTATACCTTACAGTTATATAGCTATGATATTGTGAAGATTTATTTTTGTGTGACGATGATAACAGGATGTCATCTCCAACTAAAGAACAATGGGGAAGGGGTGGTAGGGGCATGCCTCTAACCCTTTTCCACAAATTCGCCATCTTTTCAGGGCTTCGGAATCAGCAATTTATGCAAAGGGAAGACAGATTAAAATCACTAGTTTCTGTTTATCATTAATATTATTTATTTCGCAAATTAACCACAAACAATACACTTTTACTAGACATTATTTTATTCACACACAAATAACATCAAAACAAAATCTATGAGCGCATGGACAGGGGACATGCTGTCTCTACGGCCAAAGCAATTCATAAATCCATAAGAATTTTTGAGTTCCATTCTGATTAAATGACAAGTTACGGTCTAGGCATTTGTTTGTAGTTATATGCCTTTGCATTTGGCTCTGAGATTCTCCCCAATTCTAACCAGGTGGTACTTAGGCCATATAAGTCGCATTGAAGCTGAGAAGAACCTGCTACAGCCTGGTGTCGATGTCCAGCGAGGAATGTTCATTGTCAGGGACAGTGAGAGCAACCCAGGTATAAGTCAAGTCGATTGTCCTTATATTCTGATTGAACAAGTTTGTGATATTGCCTTCAACCTCCAAAGCGGGACCCTTTACATGGTATGATGGTAGTAAATTGTACTCTCATGCACTTTAAGCCATCGTACATGATGTACCTTCATGATGTATCTTACAGGAACCTCCTTGTATGGTTCCATCTCTCCAGTCGAGTCACGCTGTAACAGTAAAGTGTGAATTAGCTTTATACCATACATTTTTTGCCATGCTTAACATATGAGCCAATCTAGTCGAAACCAAAAGTTGCTTGTTGTTCATCTTCTTTTTCACGTGCAGGGTTGCATTCCTTTGAATGATAATCTTTGAAGTATTTTCCTTCACAGGTGCTTTCTCAATATCGATTATTGACCACGACTCCGTTAGAGGCAACAATGTGAAACACTACGAGATCGAAAAGCGTGACGATGATGAGACTGGATCATTCTACATACACGAACGCGCCTCGTTTCCTACACTCGCTAAGCTTATCAAGCATCACCAACGTACGCAAGTTTCGAGTTAAAAAAAAACATTGTTGAAATGGCACTGTATGGGGTCATGATGGAGCTCTCTTTTGTAAAGTATTTGATCTGAATTAGCCAGTTCGGTATTTCAACTGCGCATGTCAACTGCGCATGTGCACAACTGCGCATGTGCACAAATCCTTCGGATAGGACGTAAAGCCGTAGGTCCCGTGTATTGTGTAATGCACGTTAAGGAGCCCAGTAACAAATAGTCAGGTGGCTTAGAGCAAATTTTTGACAAGTTCGTGACCGACTGGTCCAAAGCACCAAACTTGGCAGATAGATTGTTATAGCCTTAGAGAAGATATTTACAAGGGATGACACCTGAAATTCTTTTGGGAAGGGTGCCTATTTTACATAAATCGTTAATCCCTGCCGTGTAATTTATTTATTCCCATATTGGGGTATATTTTCATTTTTTTATTTTTTGAAAAGTATATTTTGGCAAGACAACTTGATGATATCTGGAGACAAGGTTAATGCGCGCAACTTAAGGGTATAGTAGTAGCCATTTTGGATCGTTACTATGTCCTCATAATTATCCAGTCGGTCTTAAATGCTTTAGAAAATGTTATTGAAGTAGGGATGTGTAAGTAGAATTACCAAAATATACTTTTCAAAAAATTAAAAAAATAGAAATATACCCAATAATTTTGGAATAAATATATTACACGGCAGGGATTAACGATTTATGCAAATTGGGCACCCTTCCCAAAAGAATTTCAGGTGTCACCCCTTCTAAATATCTTCTCTAAATCTAAAGCCAAGTTTGGTGCTTTGGACCAGTCGGTCACGATTCCGACCGTATGCCACCTGACTATTAAGAGAAAGGGTTTGCCCTGGTGTTTCTGGCAATACCGATGTTCCCCGAAATCCTTAGGATTAGGGTTAGGGTTAGAGTTGGGTTAGGGTTAGGGTTTGGGTTAGGGTTATATGGTAAGCGGGATTTCGGGGAACATCAGTAATGGGGAACATTGGTATTGGGGAACTAGGTGTATGCACCCGGTTGCTTAATGCGCCGCAGCACCTTGTAAACCATTATAAAGGTGCTACCTAATGGTTTCATATTTCTCATATACTTCATTTACCTGTCTCTAATAATAGACTTAATTTCTAGCGCCTTGAGTACCTAATTGTTGGTAGATACGTGCGCTATATAAGACTTAGGTATTATTATGATATGGGTCGACGGTCATTTGGGTGTAGTGTTAAATATCCAACCACGGATCCTACACACAAGGATAAACGACCGTTCTGAGCTCTAGTTCAAAATGTTTTGAGCGGACTTGCCTTAATTGGTTAGACGCGTGATAACCGGCCATAATATTGGTTGGCGCGTAATCGTGAATATTCCAGGTGTGCCATTGTGTCAGGTTTTTTTTGCACGACATCTAAAACGGAAATATTAAAAAAAACTGTAAGCAAAACTACTCCTTATGTAAGATATTATTGTTCCAAAATTGTTTAAAAATGAATACTTCAGGTTGTATCACATGGTCGAGATTGTGCAGTTTTTGTCGTCATAGATATTTACTCGGGTAATAAACGTCAAATTTTGAGGAGAACATCCGTTTACCCAAATTTCGTTTTGAATTAGGCTTTAATTAAAAGCGTCTTTTCATAGGTAACTTTAAAGCTAAAGATATTGTGCTCGGCGTTAACGTGGTTACGTAGTAATCACTTATCAGAATTCAATAATAAAGACCAAAAAGGTATAGACTCACAAATATTCAAAAATATAATTAGCTGGCTTTACAGACTTTGACAACAGATCGTGCGCTGAGCCCTGCAAATCTGAAAGCTGCCGCGCGCAAGGGCTTTATTTGTTAGTGACAAGTATTCATGGTATTTGCCATCTGTACGGGCCGTTATAAGGGCCCTGTCACACTTCTGCGTTTCCTAATTCCTTATGAGTTGCGCATTGACATTTTTTTCATACGCAGTCGTACGCACAATACGCACCTCATATGCATCTCTTTCGTTTTGTGTAAGTTTTATGTACGCAGGCATACGCATGGTAAGGCCCAGTACGCAGGATAGTTTTGGGCATGCACAAAACTACGCTGCGTACGCTGTTACGCAGTTCATAAGTTATAAATACGCAGCGCATCGGTCCCGCATCGGTCGAGTGCGTTACGAGTACGCTATGTGTTCGTGGGGGATTTAGCGGTTCATACGCGGTAATACGCTGTCCTCCCGGCACGCACCCCGTTAGCATATGAGCCGCCTATTTTGGACGTATACATAGCGTACTTGCAGCGCAGATACAACGCACGCTGAACGAACTCATAGCGAATGCCGACGTATTGCGTCGGAAGTGCGTCAGGAATGCGGTCGGCATAAGTCGGGTGCGTCCGGAATACGCTCAGCATGCGAACTGCATACTGACCTATTCGCAGCCCGAAAAATAATGTTGTGCACTGCATACTTAACTCATACGCATCTCATACGCAATGGATGCGCTGAATTCGTTACTTGTACGCTAGATGTGCGTTGCACATAAGTCAAAGTAATCAAAAAATTGTGAGCGTACGGCTGCGTATTGAAAAATGTTGATAAGGAAATCATAAGGAATTAGGATACGCAAAAGTGTGACAGGGGCTTTATCACGCGTCTAACCAGGAGTTTGGCCGAGTCGTTAATCCTTGTGTGTAGGATCCGTGATCCAACCAGAATGGGGGTCCACGTAAAGCCCGGTTCATACTTCATGCGAAAGCGAATGCGAAGCAAATTTGACGTCATACAACATTCGTTGCGAAATTCGCCCGAGTTGAAATATGTTCAACTTCTACGAATTCGCAGCGCGCATACTTGCCACGACGTCACAAATTCGCGTTCGCTTTCGCTTTCGCGCAGAGTATGAACCGGGCTTAACATCGCGTATCATTATGTCAGCGAATTTAATGACCTTTGACCTGGACTACTTCATCGAGATACCGAACTGGCTTATTATTGTGAAATTTAAAGGGAACATGCAATTTAATTGTTTAATGCTCTCCTTGAAAATGCATATTTGTGTCTTATTTTAAAATTTCGTTTTGTTATTTATGGTGCTATTTATGGTGCATGGTGCTATTTATTAACTAACGGTTAAACATGTTTTTAATTTCAAAGTTGTTTTTCTTTTTGCAGGGGTAGCTGATGGACTGTGTACCACACTAACCTACCCCTGCCCTAGAGAGACTCCGAAGACCATGGAGTTGGGCAACGATGATTGGAAAATCCCCAAGAAGTGCTTGACACTGAAAAGAAAGATTGCGGTCGGTCAGTATGGAGACGTTTGGAAAGGTGTGAATATTTGTTTCTGGTGCCATCTTGCTTAATTGAGTTTGCTTTTGAGAAAATGAAAATATAAGAGTTATCCAGAGAATTCTCTTTCTTTCGTTCAGGCTATGATGATTGCTTATACTGAAACTTTAAGCTATTCGGGATAAGCGTTGAAATTAATGGTAGACAAAAAGAAAGTAAATAAAGTCATTCTTTAACAGCTTGCTAAATTAATTACAATATGTGCATTTACCTGTAAAGTTGACTTGGGGAGCCTGAGTCAGCAGAGTGCACTGACTATTATACTTGTTTCTGATTACAGACTTTCTCAGTCTTATATTTTTAAGGTATGTGGGAAGGAAAGACCCCAGTGGCCATTAAGACCCTCAAGATGGAGACTGGTCAATCCGCCTTCCTGGCAGAAGCTAACATCATGAAAAAGCTGCGCCATCCAAACCTTTGTCAACTGTGTGGTATTTGTTCCGACAAGGTATGGATCAGATCCTTTGATGGAAGACAGGGTGTGAGATAAGGTCTTGTTAAGTAATATTTTGAAAAACCTCCTTTAAAACTTTTAAACGTTGCCAGTGTTGCAATTACAAAGGTTATTAAGTACTGTGGGGAGGGCTTAGAGTTTTGGGATACAAGGTATCAATCTACAAAATGTATAGTTGTACAAGCTCTCTTGCATTTTGTTTCATCCCGAAATTATTGTCCTTCCTCCAGGAACCCATCTACATTGTTATGATGTGGATGTGCAACGGCAGTCTGTTGAATTACCTTAAAGGTGACAAAGGAAGCAACCTGAAGTTGCCCGAACTTGTCGACATTGGAGCTCAGGTCAGTAGGGACATCTTTTTCCCTCATCCTTTTATCAAACTTTTCTTCTGGCCATTTCCACTATTTCAACTGAAATGGACATTATTTTTATGATTAGATTGCCTCTGGCATGGCCTACTTGGAATCCATGAACTACATCCATCGTCAATTGGCTGCAAGGAATGTACTTGTTGGAGACGCCAACATCGTCAAGGTGGCTGATTTTGGGCTGGCGAGAAAGAATGAGGATTCAGAATTACGAGGAGAGGGTAGGTTTTATCACCGCCAACCTGACAATTGTCTTTGAAATGGACCGGGATAATATGATTATCTAGATGATTATCTAATACATAATTAATCCTTTTTTTAAAGGTGCAGGCAAAAAACACCATTTAATTTTCCAGACTCCCAAAAATGTATGAATGTTAAGCCTTGTTTAATTGCCTGAGACCTGTATTGATTCAAAGTTGATCATGACTAGTATTTCTGAGTCATTCTTGCAGGAAATCCAACCCTATTAAGATGGGCAGCACCTGAGGTTCTCATGGACAATTGTCACAGCATCAAATCCGATGTCTGGTCATTTGGTATTCTGCTGACAGAGTTGGTCACACACGGGCAGACTCCATATTTAGGTAAAGTTGTATTTCTCATTGATATCTGTATAATCATTTGTTATACGCAAGCCCCTTGTTTATACAGTAACGTGATCGTCTTAATTTTTTTATGAATCGGTATTTTGTTTATAATTACTTATATAATACGTCATGTGGATGGGAAAACTCTACAAGTGCCATTCTCTCAGTTATTAAAAAACGTGTAGCTTGTTTTATCCTTGCAGTGACTGTTAATATGTGAAGATCATCCAATCAACAATAGTACTGTTCTCTTTCCAAGGTTTGGGGACTGATGACAAAGTTGTTCGTCATGTTAAGCAAGGCTATCGCATGCGCAAGATAGGCAAATGCCCAGACGCCCTGTACGAACTCATGCTCAAGTGTTGGGACAAGGATCCCACTACAAGATACACCTTTGAGTTCCTGCATTCCTACTTGGATGACGGCTTCGTCGTAGGACTGTGTATACCATGAAGCAGAATAAAGACAGTTTTGTGTTCGTGTTCAGTAGCCTGTCAACTGCAACAATGGTAGGGAATATATCAGTTGAAGATATCCACTGAGGTTGTGGACACATCCACAGACCACAGTATAAACAGAGCACTCAAATGTGTATTGGATCAGACTCATCCCACAGTGATTGCTATTGTTGGTTACTCCGTAGGTTGAAATAAGAAGTCCATGTTTTTAATCAGTTCAGTGTGGACAGTTCCTCGTCCATAAAAAAAAATCGATATGGATCATTCATGCCTGTTTATATTTTTCTTGTGTACCATAAATACATTTTCACACGAAACATCATCTGTCTACAAAATGTATGTACTTACTAATGTATGTTCGGATTATTTCACTACCAATGAGGTAGATGAGGATAGTTCCACATCCTTGATGCTGAGATTTGATTGCCTTTTAATTTTTATCTAAAACGTGCAAGTGCACATACAGTACCTTCTTATGTTAGATTCCATATCCTATCACGACCATTATTACATTTGTCACATCCACAAACGTGAGATCTCTTTTGTGGACACCAAAATCAACAATCCCAATTAGTGATTTTGGGTGTTGAAAACACATTATCTACAACATCCAAATATTTGTACTTCCGCATCCACATTATTCCAAACGTCCACACATGAGATTCTATTGATGAGGACACGTCTACAGTTTAATCCACCCACCGCTTCTCAGTGGTCCATGTCCTCGCTAAAGCCAGGGTAGTCTAAACTCTGTAGGTCATATTAGACGCCGGTATTCCAGCAAACCGAGTCCCCAATGTTATTTACTATTTTGATCCCGCGCAATTTTTAATGACCTTTCCAAATATGGATCGCTCAGTTTCTGTCCAATGCATGCAACCAAGAAGTCATTTACAGTATACGGTCTGACAGCCGTCCCTACCGGTACCTCGCATGCGCACTACATATTGGGCTTTGGATGCCACTGGGTATATTACACAGGCTCTAGCTTGCACAAGTCCATACTGCAACAAACACATCTATCGTTCAAGAGGCATTGAATAACAATTCTGTGGTGATCTTGTAAGCATTATTTTCATTGCCTAAATCTCTCTCCAAGCGCCAGAAAAAAAATGGCCCTGTATTGAAAGTTCAAAGCGTAAGGAAACGTCACAAAGGCTACGCAGACAATGTGATTGGCTGACGACAAGTGTCAAAACAGTGACTAATTCTGTAGACTCGATTTGCCAGAGTATTATCTTATGACCTACACGAGTAAGACCAGCCTGGTTAGTATTGTGAGGACGAGTCGTCCACGGATCCTTTACATGGATTAACGACTCAGCCAAACTCCTGCTGGTTAGACGCGTGATAATGTACCATGAATACTCAACATAGACCCTTGCGCGCGGCGGCTTTCAGATTTGCAGGGCTCTGCGTCCAATCTGTTGTCGAAGTCTGTCAAGCCAGCTAATTATATTATATTCATGATCCTACATTTTTTGCCTTTTTAAAGTCTGATAAGTGATAACTACATAACCATGTTAACGCCGAGCACAATATCTTTAGCTTTAAAATTAAGTATGAAATGTCGCATTTGTTTCATCGGTTCGGGACCACATCTCTCTAAAACTTTTTAATGAAAGCCTAATTAAAAATGGCGTTCTCCTCGGAAAAGGTGTCACATTTGACGTTTATTTCCCGGGTAAATAGTGGTTAGTGCTTACAGTTTTATGAATATTTCCGTTTTAGATGTCGTGCAAAAAAAAAAAAAATGGCACACCTGGAACATTCGCGATTAACATGCCAACGGGTATTCATGCCCGTTATCACGCGTCCAATCAATTAAGGAGCTCCGAACAGTCGTTAAATCCTATTTAAATTTAGGCCTTGAGTGTAGGATCCGTGCGTCGTCCAAGCTCATTGAGGAATCTGTAATAATTTATTACATGTACGCTGGGTGCATTACTCCACATGCACACATCTAAATGCATGATAACTTTCATGGATTATCACTTATTCTAGTTGATAGTTCGTTTCACACGGACAGCTTATAAAACCTATTGTTGAGCCTTCCTGTAAAAATAATTCGAGCTTAAAATGTTATAACTCTTAAGCAAAAACATGGCAAGAAAATCTCGATTTATGAAGTTGTTGATGGAAATTAGTTAGGAAGCTAAGGTTTGACTTCGCAAATCCTGCAAATTTGGCACAACCTGCAACACCTTTTGCCGTTTTACATGATCAAAGCAATATACATTCCGTTTTGTTACATATATTTTCAAACAAATGATTAGGACTGTAAAATATTAGATTTTACAACACCTCTCTCACAGATTTAGTCACGGTTGGTGGGAAAAACAGGTTTTGTCAATTTACACAAAACAACAGGTCAGATGTGTGATGTATGCTTTAAAACACCAGCCCTTTAAAACAGGGTTCCTGTGGCCTGGAAGAAAACCAGAAAAGTCGTGCAATTTTATTTTCAATTTTCAGGCCTTGAAAAGTCATGGAAACTTGTAAAAAGAGACAAAAGTCATGGAATTTTGTAAGAGTCAATTTATTTTAAAATTTTAGAATTAGTATATTTTTAATTGAGCATCGGAAGTCTTATTTTTATACCCGACAAAATGTGACACGTTTGAACGTTTCGCTGATGCAAGCATATTTAGATTTTGTTTTGTTATTTTTCTGTTTTCTGAACTTTTCATGGAACAGGTTTGACAGTTCTGATCTGCATCTTAATGTTCATAATTTGGTCATGGAAAAGTCATGGATTTTTATTGTTCTGAAGGTGCAGTAACCCTGTTAAATCCCTTTCATAGAATTACGACAAAACAATGCAAATTGTCCAGGCCTGCATTACCTTTAAAGTACTGCGGTTCCCTTTCATACACGATGGAACCGGCCGACATGATGCCTACAGTGACATGGTCCACACGGCTCTATTTTCTTAGGTAGACATGTAGCCCTATGAGGCTGAACACTTTATAAGTACATTGCTGTATGAATACTTATGGCTACTTTCCCTTTATTTACAAACAAAATATACTTCTCTTGTGTTACAATGATCTACGATTTGAAAAAAATAATAATGAATTACATTTGTTGGTGATGTAATTGGAATTTATTGAACGTTCGATGCATACCAATAACTATTATTCACACAAGATTGCATAATGTGATCAAATCTAATGTAAAAATGAAGGCAGCCAACATAATTGTGTTAATTGAGTCGGCAGCACTTTGAAATGTCACATCAACTGTAATTATTAAACTTGGCAAGTGTTATCACTTGGCCAATTTCCAATAACTCCAGAAAACGTCGGACCAATTGCTAAACACAAAACATTACCAAGCATAGAAAATATGTATTTCCCAGCAGGAATAGGTTACCAGCCAAAACTCTCATGCAATGTATACTACTTCAGACTGGTTCCCAGCTGATTTCTGCTTAACGCATCAATTTGCAAAGCAATAATTTCCGCTCAGCCGCTCCGTGACATTAAGGCCCAGACGTTGTGTGGTTTGTGGAATGTATATTTGCCCGATTGGTTTAGTGTATTTGAAATGGTTTGTCCACAGATTATGCCTGGAGGCCAGGCATTATGCGCAATTTCTCAGCTATTTTCTCAGCCATTTTTCTATTTCAAACAAACATGTGTTTGTATCTAATTATGTAAAGAATGGGTGTAGATAAAGAAACAAGAAATGATATATAGATGGTTAAAATTAGGATAGCTTCTAGATGACTTCCGAAAAATTGAATACAAAAATGGTAGTTACTTATTTAGGTGAAGGAACAACAAATTGTAGGCATAACTTAGTGGTTTATGTGTGGTTCCAAATGGCCTGAATGTGACTGTAAATTAGGCATAATTATTCAAATTTTGCGTATGTACGCAATGCATATAGCATGTGCATAATTAGTTAATCGCATCAAATAAAGGATTGAAGTTATTCTGCACGGTTCTCTCTGTGTGCGTTTGGGACATACTATGTGACACTGAACCCAAAATTGCTGACACAGTGACGCTTATTGTTTTGAACATTTGTCAAGTTTTGCAAATGTAATACCTATAGGTAGAGACACATACGTTTTGAATATGCTAATTATTTTGTTGTCTTCCAGTAAGGTGATGTATAAGCACCGTATTTTGCTAGCCTGTGTGATCACAAGATGGCCGAAAACATTTTGTTGTTGCTTTGCTACACACATTATTGACAATAATCTCGAATTGTAATAAATAACAATAAAAATGCCCAGTCGTAGTGGTAACTCTTGTAAAGTTGTTACTTATGAAAAGAACCAGTGTTCCTTCAAATTGAATATGAAATGCAAGGATTACTAGGTATCTCTTCAGTAACTTATTATTACGAGGCAGTTCTACAATTTTGGTAGCGCCATTGAACAAAACAATTTCCCGTATGTATTGCCAGCCCTCGTTTAACATATAATAACTAAAAAACAAAGCATTTGAAAGAGGTCTGGTGCCCTGCTCAGACTGCTGGTGATCAGTACAATGTCATAATACTGTGAAATTGCCTTGTGTAGCTTTGAAAGGGCAGGAATGTTAAAAAAAAAAAAAATTGGGTGACAAATATTCTGTAGAAGTCGATTCATCATAAACATAACCTATATTTTGTTGATCTGTGTTATTCTTCACCCTATTCTCTGTACAAAAAAAGAGCCCTGTTAGACTAGGCCTGATCACATTCGTTTATAATTAACTTTCCCTACGAAATGGTCTTCAAATAGCAGTTTGCACAGCCTCTGGTTAATCTTTTTTTTCTGTTCAAACAACAGTACAACTCAGAAGTTTCAGGTACATGTAGGTAAACAGAAATCATCATGACTTTTAGAAATCAAGTATTTCTGTACAATATAACCGACATTTAGGTATAAAAATTCAAATGCATACTGTTATTGCATTCGTACGTTGTTTACCATTGAATACGTAGATAACACATTGCTTGAAGTACATGTCATTCAGAATTAATTTTGCTGTTCTGTATCTTGGAAATGCTGTTTAGTTCCACTTAAATGACAAGTGCATAGCCTGCACACACCGGGACAAATCTGCATGTGTGCCGTGGTGCTCAAATACGCAAGTTTTCCAGACATCATATTTACTTG